TTTTTAATTATGATTTGGGCGAAAGTTTACAGAGCAAGTTCACTTTCCCTACAGCAGTTCACATACACTTTGTCTCATGACATTGACTATAATTTCCCACAATGCAACAGCTCCCCTCCCACTTCCTCCCCATAGTTACCTCTTCCCTGTGTCCATCCCTCCATGCACTCCTGCCCCCTGAACTGTCTCTCTGTGCTCACAGAGCCCTTCTTTCTCCCATGATTGTTCTCTCCAAGGAGTGTATCTGCCTCAGGTAAACAGTCAACTCATATGCCTGTCTTTTGTTTGGCTGGAAGCCAGACCTGAAGGGCAGCTAGGGGCCATAGTCTCAGTAGTTCCACCAGGATCTATCAGATCAGCAAACCTGGTCCCCCACCCTTTTTTTTCTCCAAATGATTTTGAGTTTTGTTCCACATTGTTCTCCCTCTCTATCCAGGATCTCTTACAAAGATCCCCCTCCAAGTGGTTGACAGTGGTAGCCAGGCACCATCTAGTTCTTCTGGTCCCATATTCGTATAGGCTGCGGATGGCATGGTGTACCAGTTGCTAGGACTAATTGTTTCCATGAATCTTTGGTTTTCTTCATTTTTCTTTGCTCTGGATGAGGAGAGACCCATCGTTGCATCTAGATGGCTGCTCGCAAGCTTTTAAGATCCTAGTCGCTACTCACCAAAGTAGGAGATGGAACATTGTTTTGTGTAGTACATTATGCCATCTGAGCTTGATGTCCCCGGCGACTATGCTCCTGAGTTTGCAGGCAATTCTTACAAATGTTGCAAAGTTTCCAGAAATCTTTGTGCGCCCTACTGTCTAACAGGTTACATTAGTTCTATATCTTTTCCTTCCCCTTTTCCAGTTACATTGTTCTGTTACAGACTGAGGAGCCTTGGTGCTGCAGTGGTTAAAGTGCTCAGCTGTGAACCTAAAGGTCAGAGGTTCAAACCCACCAGCCGCTCTGTGGGAGAAAGATGTGGCAGTCTGCTTCCTTCATGAAGATTTACCGCCTTGGAAACCTCATGTGGCCTCTCTGCTTTGTCCAATAGGGTTGCTGTGAGTCTGAATCAATTTGAAGGCTGTGAGTTTGGTTAGCGTTTTGGACTGAATTGTGTTCCCCCAAAAGCTATCTCACAGTCCAAAACCCTGCACCTATGAATGTGATCCTGTTTGGGAATGGGGCGTTTCTTCTGTTATGGTAATGAGGTCACACCTCAGCAGGGTGGGTCCTACATCGGTCCCTTCGGAGTGGTTTTTATCAAGAAGAGGACAGCAGACGTACACACACTTAGGCACA